GCTTTTTTGATGTTTTTGATGTTAAGTGTCCATTTTAAGTCTTGAGATATGATAGAACCTAGAAACTTGAAGGTCTCTACTGTTGATACTATGTTGTCTAGTATTGTAAGAGGTGGTAGTATAAGAGAGTTTCTCCTAAAATCTACCACCATTTCTATGGTTTTGAGTCTGTTTAATTCAAGATTGTTCTGGTTGCATCACAAGGTTAGTTGTTCAACCTCCAATTTGTATGCAGATTCATCATTGTCTCAAATGAGACTAATCACTGTTGTATCATCTGCAAACTTCAGTATTTTAACAGAGGGATCTTTTGAGATGCAGTCATTGGTGTATAGAGAGAAGTGGAGAGAGCACACAGCCCGGGGGGGGGGGGGGGGGCCCTGGGGGAATTGTATAGGTATCTGAAGGGATTTTACCCAGCTTCACCTGCTGCTTCCTGTCTGTTAGGAAGCTTATGAGCCATTTACAAGTTTGGTCAGTACAGCTAGCTGATTTAGTTTAGTTATAACAATATCTGGAATGATGGTATTGAATACTGAACTGAAGTCTACAAAGATGACCTTTGCATAGGTCTTTGGAGATTCAAGATGTGGTAGGATGTAGTGTAGAGTCATATTAGCAGCAGCAGCAGTGTTGATCTGTTTGCTCGGTATGCAAATTGCAAGGGGTCTAACAGAGGATCCATGATGGTTTTCAGGTGGGCCAAGCACTAATCTTTCAAAGGTTTCCATAACTACAGATGTTAAAGCAACTGGTCTGAAGGGATATTTAGATAGAAGATAGAAGATAGAATACTTTATTGGCCAAGGGTGATTGGACACACAAGGAATTTGTCTTGGTGTAAATACTCGCAGTATACATAAAAGAAAAGATACATTCATCAAGATTCGAGAATCATAAGGTACAACACTTAATGATGGTCATAGGGTACAATAAGCAATCAAATCATACTAGGAAACAGTCAATATAAATCATAAGTATACAAGTGACAAAGTTGGTCATACAGTCACAAGTGCAAGGGGATGGGTGATAAGGAGTGATGACAAGATTAACAATAATAGTAGTGCAGACTTTGTAATAGTTGAACAGGGTTGAGGGAATTATTTGTTTAGCAGAGTGATGGCTTTCGGGAAAAACTGTTCTCGTGTCTAGTTGTTCTGGTGTGCAATGCACTATAGCATCATTTTGAGGGAAGGAGTTGAAACAGTTTATGTCTGGGATGTGAGGGGGTCTGTAAATATTTTCACAGCCCTCTTTTTGACTCATGCAGTATACAGGTCCTCGATTGAAGGCAGGTTGGTAGTAATTGTTTTTTCTGCAGTTCTAATTACTCTATGAATTCTGTGTCTGTCCTGTTAGGTTGCAGAACCAAACCAGACAGTTGTAGAGGTGCAGATGACAGACTCAATAATTCCTCTGTAGAACTGGATCAGCAGCTCCTTGGGCAGTTTGAGCTTTCTGAGTTGGCACAGAAACAACATTCTTTGTTGTGCTTTTTTGATGACTTAACTTTTCAGAGTAGCTTCCTTTTGCTGCCCTGATCTCTCTTGTTAATATGTTTCTGGCCTGGTTGTATAGCATTCTGACACCTTTTCTGTAGGCTTCCTCTTTGGAACGACGTAGCTGCTTAAGTTTAGCTGTGAACCAAGGTTTATTGTTACTATATATTTGCAGGTTCCTTGTTGGTACATATAAGTCTTCACAGAATCTGACATATGATGTTACAGTATCTGTGAGCTCATCTAGGTCTGCAGAGGCATCTTCAAAAACATTCCAATCAGTGCAATCAAGGCAGGCCTAGAGTTTCAGCTTTGCCACATCCTACCAAGTCTTCACTGATTTAATTGTTTGTTTCATGGTTTTAAGTCTTTGACTGTAGGCAGGTACAAGGTGAATCATGCAGTGGTCAGAGTGCCCCACAGCTGCTCGTGGTAAAGACCTATAAGCATCTTTTACTGTTGTGTAGCAGTGGTCTAAAGTATTTTTGCTTTTGGTGGGACAATTTACATGCTGGAAATATTTTAGGAGCTCTTTCCTTAAATTTGCTTGATTGAAATCTCCTAAAATGATGGAAAGGGAATCTGGGTGTTTGGCTTCAGCCTCCATAATTTAATCAGCAAGAGTTCATAATGCCTTGTTTACACAGGCTTTGTCATGCCCCTGGTGGAGACTGACTCTGAGGAAGAGGAGGAACAGCCAACAGGGAGTAGGAGTATGGCTCCAGAGGTGGAGGAGGCTGGGGAAGGGCAGAGTCCGGCTGAGCAGTCAGAGGAGGATCCAGGCCCATCCCCTATCCATCCTAGGTCACGCAGGGAAGAGAGGATTAGGGAAAAGCGAAGTCTACTCAAGAGGAAATTACCATGATCCTCCTTGTGGCTTGCAGGTGGGAGCTACATATATAAGTTTGCAACTGTGCAGTTAGAATTTGCAGGAGTCAATTTAGTGTTCACCTTGAAAGAGGTTTATCTTTGCTGGCATTCTTCCCATGGACTTTTCTCAGTTATTTTTCTGGAGTTTATGATTAGTTAAATTGGCTTGCTTTGGAACTCTCATCAATGCAGTTTGTTTTGGTTTTCTGTTTGCCTCATTATTTACTTTTGTGACTTTAAACTGTGCCTAATAAAACAGTGAAGTTAAGTTGAAGGCCTTAGCGGACTTTAATATATGCTTTGGGTTATTTTGAGAGACTACGGGTCATCACAGGCTTGTGGAGGAACATACACAGCTATTAGGAGAAATGAGGAGGACTCACATGGAGAGTAAAATGGCTTGCACTTGTAAAGACTCTAAGTTTTCATCACAGACCTTATATATTATAGTTATATCCTGAGACCTTGTTGTTGATATATAAACATAATCCTCCACCCTTTTTTTACCTGATATCTCTTCAATTCTGTCTGATCTAAATGTCTGAAATCCTGGGATGTATATGGTATTGTCCCATGAATTTGTGGATTAAGCCAGGTTTCAGTAAAACAAAGAACTGCAGAATTATAGAAATCAGAATTCCATTTATTTAACAGATGAATTTCATCCATCTTGTTAGCAAGTGAGTGTAAATTAGTCAGAAAGATTGAAGCGAGAGGAGTTTTTTCCATCCTATTCCTTAGTCTGTTTAAAATTCCTGCTCATTTACCTCATCTCCTTTTTCGGCCTTGCCACTTTCCTCCTTTGTTTGTTGTAATCCATAGCACCGGGGAATTAGTTAGAATCTCCTCCGCGTTTGCAAAGACAGTTGGGGGTGAGGAATCAGAAAGCTGCTCCTTAAGGAAACATTGCCTAACTCTTAGCAGATGGTCTCATGAGTATGAAATCCGTAGTGAATTGCAGATAATAATATGGAATAAAGAAACCATTAGAGAGCATTTCACCGAGTCAGTCATCATCAGCGCCATCTTGGCAACAAAATTTGATGCAATAATAAACTGCTTCATTGAAACAAAGAGAGCAAAATAGTTGCCATATACATGCATCTGCATCTACATATGGCACATGGCATTAAAAAAGGTTACCTTTGCCACATTAAATCCACACAGCTAACTGCAGAAAGAGAAAAAACGCATCTTTCTGAAAAATGATGAGGATATCTGATGAGAATGATCAAGTTTGTGTCTAGGAAATCCTAGGTTAACACTTAAGACTTTCACATTCCCATAAATTCTTTTTCAATTTCTTATAAATTTGTTTAAAGAACTCAAAGAAGTGGCAAAAGAAAACGCAAGCTGCTAAATATAAAGATAAAAAGAAAAGGAATTAAAGATGTTTCCAGAGAAAATAAATATTTTTCAACAAATGTAGCATCTAGAGTAACAGTTATGTTAAAGAATCCTGAGAGAAATGAAAGATGAATTATGCAAAATAAAAAATTATGAGTTTGCAAATAAACCATGTAAATGGTTCGCATGCAAATTACAAAAAAAGTAAATACTGAAATTACAAGATGAGATAGTGTAAATATGCAAAAAGTATTTTATCAATATTATACAAAATACATAAAGGATAAAAAAATTCCCTGGAGAAAATTGAAAAATATTTAAAGAAACAAAATTTACCAAAGATTATAGGCAAACAGAAAGAGGTTATGAATAAGATCCATAACAATAAGGGAAGTTTGAGCACAAAAGATTTGTAACCAACTGACACACTGTATGTATATAAAATGGAAGACGGTTTTATGTTTTTATGTTTTGTATGTGTATGTTTGTTTTAAAAAAATAAAAACTCTTAAAAAACAATAAGGGAAGTTTGTGAAGCTATAAAAGAAAACTAAAATAGGAAAGGTGTTTACTCACTTCTTACCATAAATGCTTTGAAGATGAACTTTATTAATGACCTTTACAAAATGTCACAAATTCTGTTTTACCTGCTACACAGCTGGAAAGAGATTAATATAGCATAACATAACAAGATTTGATTTGTTCTGTAAAAAGAAACATCAGATTTTTGCTGATAGACTGAAAAGGAAGTAAAATTTTAAAAAGAAACTTATAAGGTAAGGGCATTTGCTGAAGATTTGATTTAGTGATTTGGAGGATCCATTAAAGAGAAGAGAGACATTAATAGGAAAATTAAAAGAATTTAGTACACTAGCAGGTTTTAAAATGTTAATCAAAAATAGCAAAAAGATCAAATAGAATGGATTAAGAAAATGGGTTTTAAGATTGAGAAAAAAGTAAAATATTTTTGTATCACCATGACAAATGTGAATTATATGTTATTTTAAAATAATTATGTTAAGATATGGAATAAAGCTTAAAAAGATTATGTTAAAACGGGAGAAATCAATGAGGGCATTTTCTGTGATAAAACCATTTTTAAATATTTCAATAAAATTATATTTAAAGTAATGTGTTCTTTAGACTTAACTTCCATTGTATATTTATTTTTTTAATATGTATTATTTTCTGCCTGTTTGTTTTAATTTTAATTTGTGTATTTTTGTTAATTTTGTATTTTTTCCTTTTCTTAAAATATAAGAGAGAAAAAATATTTCTTCTTACCTCCATATGTATTAGCTACTTCTGAAGTAATGCTGGTTTCCCTTGCTAACACCATGTCTTTATCCACTGAAGAGAATCTAAAAATATAGAACACATTTTAGTTTTAGTTTCTATTACACATAGTATAAGGATTGATATTGGCAATGCAGAAACCAGAGGTTCTCAAGATAGAATTATTATACAAATATATCAGTTGTATTTCAAGCTATATGAGACTGACCAAGTATCTATTAAGTAAAAAATGCAGAAGATTCTGACTGCCTTTCCTTGCACTAAGCAAGCAATTGTTACATTTAAGGTATCATTCTTATGTGCAGTAAATATCCTAATGTAGCAGAATCTCTGAGAAACTTATTCCAAATTAAGCCAAATGAATTAAAGGGTAGTATCTGGACAGCTGTGATTTAGTACTGAACTCAGTTATAAATCTTGATAGCAAAAGCTATTACTAACAACTTATGTCTGGTAATTCCAGTTTTTACTAGTTTCAATGGGGTGCAGTCTTTATTTGGGCAATCAAAGAGGTTCTTTGTAGAATTTTTATTTTTCAAAATAATTAAAGCAGGACAATATATTACAAAGACTACCACTAATGACAATATTTCATAAAGGCTATTACCAACTACAGCTTGTCTTTGGTAGCTCCAATTTTTACCAGTTCTCAAATGGATGCCATCTTGACTTACTATTCTTCTTACTATACTTTGTACAAAGTATATATTTAAATAGTTAAAGCAGAAGAATATTTCATGGAGGAGCATGGTCTTATTACAAGTAAACAAAGTATTCAAAGAACCAATCCAAGAAGAAAGCCTTTAGCAATCTGACATCCAGGAATCTAGACTTGTTTGGGGAGCTAGAAGGGAGGACTGAACACTTCTCACCCCCAAATCAGCCTTATTTTTTTCTCAATGAGCTAAAAAACGGATTCTATTCCTATGAATGACATCATTATTTTTTTCTGTTGTATCACACATATACATTTAGGGCCATTTTAAAAAGTGGGTCTCCTACATTAACCAGTCTGCAAGTGCCACCATCTCACCGTCTCCCTTCATATTGTCTCTAAACACTTTCTTTAATAGGCAGGTCTTCATAGCTATTGTAAAGCCTATCAGAAAAGGGATAGGGCAGATAATTAAGCTGTTTCACAGCAGGGGCCATCATTGAGAAGGCGCCATTAAAAAATCTATACATTACATTCCCTTATACAGGACGGATACTTTAATCATGTTCATGTGAGGCTTCACTATTCTGAAGTCAGAGTGGCCCCATTTCTAAGTAGTTAGCCTTGATTACAAATACAGGTTTTGTGATAAACAGAAATAGTAATTGTCTCTGATAAATGGAGAGCCATAATTAAAGAACACATAGGATGGAACATAACATAGACTGTGCACTCTCATTAACTAAGATAAACATGTTGTGAAAAATACTCTAAATGAGCTGATAAAAAAACAGATCGCCCAGGACAGATGTTTTAGAAAGTATCATATATACAAGTGCTAGAAAACTAATAATAGTATGAAGGTGTTCTGAATATGAAATAAGCAACTTAAGGGCATTGGAGAATTGCCTATACTCAAAAGTGTAATGAAATATAGAATAGTATTCAACTGCTAATGTTTGAATTATATTGAACTTCTTTGCTTAGTTTCAAAACATAGGATGGAAGGCAAAGACTTTTTCTTATCTGTCTTAAGAAGTAAGTGTCTTGGATTGGCCAAAATACAACCGTTAAAATTTTTTAATTAATGAACTCATACATAAACATTTCCTCTGTAATTATAAATAATGTTTGCAAACTATATTTTAAAAACAATCCATGGATACAGTAAAATACCAGAGCAGTCAATAAGTACTGCCTTGACAAGTTCTATTTCACAAACATATACCAATGAAATATTTTATACTTTTCAGTTAGCAGATATTTTTCATCTATTTATATCTTGGCCAAAACAATCTTGTGCTTTCTGTAAAAAAAAGTCTGAAAAAAATAGTAGACCATTTAGTTATTAATTACCCAATGCTACTATTAATTATACATATCAAGGTAATAACAAATTATGGACATCTAGAGGGGATCAATAATATTAAAATGGCAGGCTAACTAGAACCCCATAATTTGTTTTGTAAGTTGCACATAATGCACATTAAAAAAGAACAGGACTTTAGCCATGTTGACTTTCCCATGGTTTCCTTTATCTAAATTATATTTGTTTCCATTAGACTAGTTAATAAATAGTTCTTATACTTAGCACAAAGCATTTTTTAATTCCCAAATCCTGTTTTGAGATTTAAACATCTCAAAGAGGAAATAAAAATGAATGCTCGAGACCTCCTCATTCCACTGCCACAATCTCTTGTAATGTATATTGTCAGTGATATTATATTTATATTCAACAGAATATATTCTATTCAAGCACCCAAACTTAGCCATTTAGTCTTTGCCCCTGTAAACTAATAGGAGGGGTTTACATTAGATATGCCCACAAAAACCTTGAACATGGAAAAGAAGCTTGATAGAGGTATTTGAGACTGTATATTTTTATTTTATTTGTCTATTTTGTTATTTCCATTATTTTATTTGTATTTTCTGCTTTTATATTGTGAGCAGTCCAATGTTGGAGTCCAGGAGCAGCAAAATTGAAATGAATAAAGAGGAGACATAGGGTGCACAATGCTTCAAGAAGGCTCTTATTACATGCTTGGCTTTGGTACAAAACATTTCAGAACCCGCAAAAAAAGTATTGGGCATAACCTTGTTTAGGGCTGTAAATATTAAGACTATTTGGCAGCTCGCCTCAAAGAGTAATGCAGCCGCCCAAGCATTTATGTACAACGCCCATCGACCAAAGCCAAAATCTACCTCACGCTTTTCTGGGCATGATGGAGGCCAGCCTAAAAGCGACACCAAGTTGAGGAATGTTCATGTAAAGAATGAAGTCCTGCCAAAGCGCTTTTGCAGACACCTTTCAAGCGTCGCCTTATACTCCCACATGAGTCACTGTCACTGTCACCTTTTTGCACGAAGCCCTTTTTCTTCCAGGTGGCTCTCAACCACGAACCCTTCAACTATCGTTTCATCGCTGTCTGTATCGGAAACTTCCCCCACTTCCATCATCGCTGTTCCTCACACTCCTGTCATTTGTCTCCGCGCTTATGAAAACACCTCCCACTCCCACCAGGCTCAGTCCCCGAGACGACCCTTCGCTCCCCCAGAAAATGGCGGGAGAAGCCCGGTGCATTGTGGGAATTCTCGCCCCCGTGCGAATTGGGGCAGAACGTGGGAAATCTGGAGAACTTGGCCGGGCAAAGCTGTTACGATTGCCAATTGGCTGGGCAGAAGAGCAAGAAGAGGCTGGCGACCAAAAGAAACTCCGTACTCGTTCCAAAATCTCTAAACTAGAGCCACCTGCCCCAGGTTCTGCAACTAGGCCTACCTTGAAAGCGATTGGAATCGACAGCGGTTGAGTCCCTTTTTCCACAGAAATAATTGACGCAATTAAGTTCCCAGCAATTGCACACAGGTGTAAGGCGCTACGGTTTTTTTTAAACTGGATGTATAGTTAATATTTCTTTAGTTTTGTTATCGTTTCTCTTTCTGTGACAGAGGTATTATTCCTGTATCAGATATGGTGCCATTGTTTTTTCTGTAAATAAATCTCTGATTCTATAGCTGCAAAGCAAGATTCCTTGAAAAGTTAACGTTCCTCTCTCTCTCTCCTATCTTTCCCCTATTCTCTTCCCAGAGTTTTTATGTCTTGAAATACTGCACTGGTTATGTCTCTATAGATGCCACAGTTTTTAAAACAGCTCTAGTAAAAGGGAAAGAGGACAACAGTAATATCAGTCCTATGCTTAATTTTAAAAGAGATGAGGAAAATGGTTCGAGCACAATTTAATTTCTAGAGGCACAAAGGCATCACTTTATACTTATGATACACAAGTACAGGTAATTATGACTATTTTTCACACTTATTACCATTGCAGCTCCCCATGGTCACATGATCAAAATTTGGATGCTTTGCAAGTGGTTCATATTTATGACACCTGCAGTGTCCTGGGGTCATGTGTTCAGTTTTTATGACCTGACAAGCAAAGTATAGGGAAGACTGTTACTTAACAACTGTTACCAACATAATAACTGTTAACTGATTCACCTAATAAATGTGGCAAGAAAGGTCATAAAATGGGACAAGGCTAATTTAACAAATGTCTCACTTAACAACATAAATTTTGGAGCTCTATTGTGGTAATAAGTTGAGGACTACCTGCACTTATGATCTTGACAGACATCTAAAAAGATAATAAATTGTTGGTTTAAGATATTTCTAGCCCAACATAATTTCCACTTCCCAACCTATGGTCACCTATGCTGCTGGTGATCAAACAGCATGAATCAAATGTTGACAGGAAATAAAAGAATAGCATACAATCCTGTTGGTAATTTCTTACCATCCTGAAAAATGAATAATTTTCATGAGGGAATGTTGCAAAGTGGACAATGAATTATTTCTCAATTGCATTTAAGACTAGTGAAATTATACTAACACAAGACTAAAATAGTAATAGAACAAATATTTGCTGTTTTTATATTATTGAAGCTAATTCCAGCTAATTATCTAGTGTAGTAGTGTATCTACCACCCTTCTGGAAGAATGAAATATTTTGAGAAATATTAAAAAGGCAGACTATTATATTTACCTAAATAAGAATTAGAGAAACATGTTTTAGAGCCTTCCTTAATAGCCTACAGCAGATGTCAGCACTTAAGGGATAAAAAGCTTATTGAAAAAGGAAGACAAGTATCTAGATAGTTCTATTCATAAGCAAATACCCTCACCCAAGAGCCAAAACAGGAAGAAAGCCATTAAGCCACAATAGAGTTGCCCAACACCCTTTCAGAGCAGTCCAAACTTCAACCAAACTTAGTTCAGACAACCACCTAGGATTTGTATTTCCTCTTTGCCTATAGAGCCAGCTACATAACCTCTACATGACTCCATAGGAATCCGACAACAGCCAATAGAAGACATGTTCTTGCACAGGAACAGGAAACTCAAATACAAAGTTCAAAGAAGGTATAAAAACCCCTCACTCTCAATTCCATTTTGTCAGCTGCCCAGAACCACAAACCCATGTGGTTCTGCTTCATCAATAAACCATCTTTCCAACCCTCCATGTTTCCAGTGTCTTTTTCCCAGCTTGGAACTGAATTAGATGGATATTCTATTTCTTCCCACAATGTCAGGATATTAACAACGAAGTCCAGACCCAGATTAACCAATTTGTGGTCCCCACAAAGTGATCCAGTCCTCAGTCTAATTCCATGTAATCCTCAGACTAAAATTAAAAGTTTTAACCAAATTTTTAGCTAAGCTCTTCTAACAAAAATTATCTGTCCCTTTCACTTTTCCAAGAGAGAAAAGAATCTGTCTTGTCCTTCCTTGATTGTGATGTCACTTTTTACCTGCTTGTGTCCTTAGTAATGATTCACAAAGAATATTGCATCTTTCCAAGTAGGAGTGAGAAAAGTCTAATAATTTTGAAGCAACTCTATGACAGAAACAGATCTATCTGAAATTAGTAAAAGAAAACCAGCAAAAGTAGCTTCCAAAGAAGCAGAAATCATAATTATAACAAAGGGGAGAAAAAGCACAGATTTGCAACTAGTATTAGTCATAATAAAACCAAAATCTGCAACCTAATTGCTCATGATTCTAAGTGAGTGATTACTAACTGAAGCGCAGATGGCTCCTGCCACATAGATGTGTAGGTTTTGACAAGTTTTTGTACATCAAGTAAGAGACAAGAATAAATGGATGACGTACTAAGACCATTGGAAAATGCTTTTTTATATTTTTTTTCTTTGACTTTTACTGTTTTTTTACTTTTATTTATTCATGTCTTTTTCTCTTAATTTTCATGTGTGTGTAGTTTTAAATTCTGTAGAACATTCTAAAATTTATAAACGTGCACATGTACATACATGAAAAGAAGAGCTTCAACTCACAGTCTGTAAGCCATATGAGGCCCTGAGTTATTTTCTATTATCTGTAATAATATTTATGAAGGAACATACCTAGAAGATACATCTCTCAGTTGGCAAAGATTACTCCAAAAAACAGAACATTGCTCCCTGGTTTTTTGAAAGGATGTACTTTTATTTATTTAGTATTATTTATATGCCACCCATCTTGTTATCCAAAGTGATATTAAAGTGGTTTTATAGGCACCCATCTTCTACCTAATTCTGGGTGGCTCCCAATCAAAGGTTAAAATAACATACAATCATTCAAAAACTATAAAACTAAAAATATTAAAACATTAAAAACCACAAAGACCTGGCACCATGTTAACATTCTAAAGTGCAACATATCCCAGTGCTTTGGAGAAAAGGGTCTAGAAAGCTTTATGGAAAGGTAAGAGAGTAGAGGCCAGCCAAAGTTCAGCGGGCTGAGTTTCCAGAGGACAGAGGCTGCCATGGAAAAGGTATAATTCCTAGCTCCCACCAGATTTAGGGAAAGGAAGTATGCCCACCCTTTCTGACCTGGTATGATGGGTAGATATCCTTTGGAAAAGGTTGTCCTGCAGATAACATGGCCGTGTATTATATAGGGCTTTATATGTGATTACTGTAGGCAAGCTGATTGGTCTATTCAATAGGTGTTATTTTAATCCTTGCAAACACCTTATTCACATTCATTATTATAGGTGCCAGGTCTTCGGGGGCATTGCTTTCAGCGCTGGCAGTCTTTATTTCTACTGGAAATTTTGCATATAATATTTTATTCTTGTTGGATGATTAGTTCATAGATTTTTTTTCCTGTGCTATCTTGTACTAATTCTGTTATACTTCCTTTAAGTTATCATTTGTCTAATTTATATCAACTGTCTCCTTTATATTTCCAATTAGGAAATGTAAGAACTTAGACTCAGGAGAAATTTCCTGACAATTAGAGCAATTAATCAGTGGAATGACTTCCCTCCAGAAGTTGTAGGTGCTCCAACACTGAAAGATTGGACAGCCATTTGTCTGAAATGGTATAGGGTTTCTTGCCTAAGCAGGGGGTTGGACTAGAAGACCTCCAAGGTCCCTTCCAACTCTGTTATACTGTTAATTGTTATCTGAATTTCTTCTACTATTTGGGTCTTTCATTTTCAATTTTTCTGAATCTCTTTCAGTTCTGCTTCCCTGAATGTATTATTACTGGCAATGAATCTCCTTTGAACTGCTAATTGTTCTTCAATCATATTTGAGTCTGGACAAACTCTTTTCCAATTTTCAAACATTCACTTTAAGTAGCTCTACTTTGTCATTGCAGTTTATAATATCAGGCCATAATGGTCCAATTTTCAAACAGCATACATTTTTGCCTTGTCTGAAATTGTTCTTCCAGAACTCCTACAGGGCTAAGCTGGTTGCCGAGCCATAGCTCTGGAGTTCCATTGCCTATTTGTCAACAGATGCCCAGGAACTCTAACATCTGACATGGTATTCCATTTCTCAAGGGATGATGGTATAGGACTCTTTTTTCTGTTTTTTCATCATATTCAGTAGATTGGTGTTCTGGCTCTTCCGCTACTGGTAGAATACACTACCACCACCATAGCTCTCAATCTCAGCAGAACATTGCAAGCCTCTTCTCCACAACAAGGAAGTATCTATCGAGGGGTATTATCATTATGATGATTATCTACTAAATTTATTTGCAACTCTTTTTTTTAAGAGAACTTCCAAGATCATGTTAGCTTCTCAGCAGAACTGGAAATAGTTTTCATGCATATGATAGATATCTCTTCTATACGGAGAAGTCCTCCAAGTTTCAAATTATGAAGTTCTAGAGAGTTGTGTGATTAATTGAACAACACTGAAAGATAAAATTGGAGGGGGGAAGGTGAAGTAGTGAAAAAAAAGTAGTTCTGCTTTGCAGTACTTTTTAAACATTGCAAAAATAATATAAAATATAAACCTACTGGTCATTTTCTCCATTTTTGAGTCAATAAAAACTTGTTGCAATAAAAATGTGGTGCAACTATGGGCTAATGCACTAATTCTCATGTTGCCCTCCTGTTGATACAATTTTGAGTTCTTTGCTCTCCAACTTCAGTGATTGTACA